CTAGTTAAACCCCAAACACACTTGCCTTCAAATTAATGACCAACAATGGAAAATGACCGTGGGTCCGTGGGTCGGCGGTGGCAGACGGAACGCGACGCGTGCCAAAGTCACGTACCGACATATAAACGGGGGGCCGGACCCGTCCGCCACGGAGTTTGCCATATTGCGCCGGACTTTTTAACATTTGCATGCAGAGTGCACAAAAAAAATATGTGTATTCAGAACACTTTAAGGATGACTTTAAGTGGTCGCAGGCAGGGAGCATCACCCGAAAAACGACACACAAAGCGCCAGTTTATCTCGAGAACATTTATTTACTTGGCCAACCCCGGGAATCCTCGGTGGTGGCCTGGCCTGGCCTGTATCTGGTAGCCCGGTTTTTTGTCCTGGCTGTGTCCTGTCCTGTCCTGTCCCTCGTCCTGTGTGTAGGTTAAAATATTTGCGCTGGTTAGGAAAGCAACGCCCGCATGACTACTTTAGAGGCCACAGGCGAGGGCAGGTTTTGGGGGGGAAATAGTTGGGAACTGAGATAAGAGTAAACAGAAAAAATAAAAAAATAGGAAAAGAAAATTGTAATAATATTCCTGGTGGCCAGAGTTGGCAAAACTTGAGCTCATCTTACAACTGCGCCGGGGCAGAAACTATTTCAGTGCCCCAAATGGGTTCAGCAAGTGTATTCCCGCTTTTCTCTCTACTTCATTTTTATTATTCTTTGATAATTAGAATATTTGCCAAAGATTCCAATTCCATTATAATTACTTATGCACGCGCGTCCTTGCGAACAAGTTCAAAAACGGACTTATAGTTTCCTCACAACCAGCCATTTTCAGCCATTGTTTCTGAGCTTTTCCCTTTTCCCCCGACGCTTTTCCCCGCTGCTCTCTTTTTGGGGAAAGCGCGTTTGGCGTGCTGCCAATTATTTGCTGTTTCACTTGTAAAACATTTATGGAATTTAACTCGGCCATTAAGTTTGGCTGGAAATTTAAGCCCTGCAATTTTGCATGGTCTGCGCAAATAACTGATGGCATTTCGCCCGCAGCTATTGTCCTGCCGTCTAAAGGCTTTAATTAATTGAAATTGTCATTAAAAAAAAGACGGTAAAGCAGCGGTTTAATGTGCGAATCAACCTTTAAAATAATTATTTTTAAATAAATTTAATGACTAAATGGGAGATGCAATTCAGCATAGGTTAAGTGGTAATTAAGAGGAAATGTAGATTTAAGTGAGTATAAATATTATTAAATACGGTTAATAGCCTCTATATGGTATATAAAATATATGTAATTTTAAAATATTAGTTTTAAATATCAAAAAATGTCCAAGAGCATTCATACTTCGCTCTGGTTTCTTTTACACTTCTGAAATCCATTCTTTGAGCTTCATTCTCATTAAACTGAAAACATTTGGCCAGCTTTGTTCAATGGCGGCGACAACGACAAGTAATTCCAACGATGGCTGTATGGCTGTATCCTGTCTGTGTTCGCATCCTTGTCCTTTTTCCGGCATGGAGGCCATTAATTTATGCATTATTGGAAACCACAAAATTCACTTAAAGCTCGCTCGGCTAAGAGTGCCGCAGCCGAAGCCGATCCAATTGCCACATTGAAATCTTTTGCTGGAAAATGTATTATTTATCTCGGAGATATATGTTCATTTGTATATATGCACTTTTCGGGGGCCAATTGACGACCGATGAATAAGCCGCTTCTGGAGCGGATTCGGTGTCCCCAGCTGGACAATCTCAATCTCGCGAAGGAGCCGAAGGATGACCGTTGTCCGAGTAATGAGATTTGCTAGCTGATACTCTCCATTTATTTATGGCCATTGGCCCTTGCAGCGGTTTCACTTAACGAATCCTGTACTGTACTGTCCTGTCCTGTCCTGTCCAGGACTTGCCGAAGGGAGCTGCTGCTATCTCCGATAGCATGGACCATAAATCTGAAGTGTTATGAGAGCATTGAGTGGGAAAACTTTTATCAACGAAACACATTATTTTAGCACATTTCTTTAGCACAGCTCGAATTCCCAATAGTGCAAGTCAAAGAGAGAGCAGAGTAGAAGTTGGTAATAGGATTCGTACAGAAGAGGAGGTCAAGGTTTGTAAGGAAACCAGGAGCACAAGTTAGCAAATAATATCATGGATTTAATTTATGATATTTAAGATATTTCAATTACTTTGTTAAGGTATTATTATTGCCTTTTTACAATATCTAGTAGATTTTATGTTCTGAAATAATTCAGCAATTTATCATTCTTAAAGTACTTTCAAACTATGACACATACTTGTCTCCCCTTATAATACAAAATACTTGCCATTATATTGCCATTCTGCAGAATATAAAAAAATAAAAACAGAAGCAAAACAAAACTCGATTTGTTGGCAAGAAGAGTCCTTCGAATGGAAGAAAGCCGAGCATATTGCACTTGGCAATCGAACTGTTAGTAGAAATCAATCGACTCAAATGGCATTCGTTGCAGCGGAGAGAGAGAAAGACAAGAAGCCGCATTCGTTACCATAATAAAATTTCCGAACAAATCAAGCCAACAATTTGTAGCAAATTCCCCCTTCAATTACACCCTTGCCTTGATAATGGGAGATATTTGTACGGTCTGTGGCCTAAATACATCTCTACTTTCACATAAAATTGAACAAAAACCCAATTCCCAATGAAATAATATTCGAAATCCTATTAAAATTAATTACTGGTTAGTCTTAACAATAATTATTTACTACTTTTTGTCGCTCTTGCTGAAATCAATAATTAATTAAAATGCCATTATAATTGGATAACTGCCAAAAAGCCTAATTACATTGGTTAGTTTTTAACGCTCTCCTGATTTAAGCCCCACATAATTGACGGCCAAAAACAATCAAGTTAACATGATGCTCTTTGACCTTATGACTGATGGTCAATGCTTTTGCTTCACATATGGCATTCTTTGTTTGTTTGGGAAACCAAATCACGATTCCGGCAATGACAGCGTTAATTAATTATTTCATTTCAGCATGCAAATTGCTTCCTTGCCTTCATTTGATTTTTTCTTCTATATATATATGTATATATACCATTTCATTTTTGCTTTGGCATTATTGTTATTGTATTTTTTTGTGGGTTTAATTTACTGCACACGCCCCAGACAGCGAGCTGACAGCGTAATGAATTCAATGACACGTAATGCCCGCGTTCCTCGATTTCCACGTAAGCGTAAGCAGCAGGAGCGAAAATTGTTTGCTCACGTAAGTATGCAACGATTTATTTCGCCCCTGTTCGCTGACAGTCAGAAGGACGAACGGACAGGCAGGACGAAGGCGAGAGGCGATTCACAAGCAGATAGGCGAAAGGTCCTTCAGTCCTTGACCATGGCAATGGCAGTGAAAGTTTCGACTTGGTAGTTACCCTTTAGTTACCTAAAGAACTCAATTTACTAAGATCCTTTTTTTGTAATATATTTTCCCTTAAAGCAGTTTCTATATATATTTCAAGTTTATAGTTTAGACTGCTTAATGTTTATGATAATTTATTGTCTTAACCTAAAGCTCCCTTAAGTCCCAATACTCCAGAAAGGATCTCAGGAAGCAACCGCAAAACAGGAACAGAAACCTACTGCTCCTACTTGTCGGCTTTGCTCCTGTCAGCATGTCCTGGCACACCGAGGCCGAGTAATTCATTAACATTTAACTTGATTGACACACGAGCCAGAGATTGGAGGGAGTCCTGCAGGACTCCAGCTCGAGTATTTTTTCTACTGTTTTTGTTTTTTTGGCACGTACTTGCCACGGGAGACGGGGGGGCGTGGCACGCACACGATTTGTTTATACAGTTATAATGCATAATAGCATCGGATTTGGCCTGCCCCAGGATAAGCACGCCTGCACACACACACACAGCAGTGAGGTTGTTACTTTGTTAATTTAATAAGAGGAAGGACTCACTACAATGATGGCGACAACAGGTGCTGCACCCCAACCAGAAGCCAGGAGCAAGGATGCCAGGATGCCAGGATGCCAGGTTCCAAAGCCGAAATGAAGTCACGTCGCAGGCATAAATCAATTGCTATGAGCAGGCATTTGTGCCGCTCAAATTGCACGACTGCATAGGTAAGGCTGCCGAGAAGGAGTAGTCCTGGAAGGATAACATAGAGGGAGAAATGGATCCCCACAACAGCTGGCAACTTGTAAATTGAGCTCAGGCAATGAAAGCGTAACGAGTCTTAATTCGTTTGCCAAACGAGTATCCTGATAACCATCCGATAAGCAACTTTCAATCGATGCCTAAAAATACGTTTGCCAAGATGGATGGCAAATCAAATACCCAGCTGGGACTAGCACTCACTCTCTCGGAGGAGAGCTCTATGTAATGTGAAAGTGAAGTTCAATTACAGCACACTGGAGAATTTAAACAACCTAAAAAGAATAGGAAATATAAGTAATAGCTTAGGGAAAACTAAGCATTCGAGTAGGTTTAAGCAAAGAAAGATTATTTTTGACCTAATTTATTGAGGAATTTCTAGATAGACTATTTTCAATTATTAAATAGGAAAATTTCCTTCTTTTTCTCTGTATCTCTTACCTGCTCTTTAAATTTCCATTTTCACCTGAACTTCCTAGAAATTCATCTACTTTCGATTTTCCTAATTAATGTAGACCAGCTTCTGCTTCTGGAAATCTCACGAAAATAATGCTTTGACAGATACATTTTCCTGGAACTGAATTGAAAATTAGCTGAAGAGCTCGAACAAAGGCCAAGGACATCATCGTTGATTGATTATCTTCAACACGAGTCCTTCCTTCCTTCGACACTTCCTCCTACACCGTTGCAGTTACAAATTGAAGGCAATTATCAGCACCAGAGACAAAGAGGGAGAGAGAACCGGAAAGGTCCTGCTGTAAAACTTTTGATGTCCTGCCGCGCCCAGCAGGAGGACACTTGCTCACACTCTCCCAAAAGGACAGGTGTCAACGGTGCGTGTCCCAGAGTGAGTGAGTGAGTGTGGTAGCCTTTGTTTCGTTTCACTTGTTGCTATATTTGGTTTACATACAAAATATACAGACGATATGCTTTTACAGAGGAAGTATTCCCCTTGTAATTACCAGTTCAAAATCACCAGCATGGCGCGTAGAAGCTCCGGGATGTCCCAGCCATTGCGGCGCAGAGTGCGCAAAGGTTTGGCCACATCCTTCTTTTTCTGTGAGGATTTAAAGGGAGTTGTAATTGAAACAGTAAAGTTAAAGCTCTGTGTACTCACAATGCTGGCCTTTAGGGTCGCCTGGAAGGCCGGCGAGGTGACGGCGATTGTAAAGTTGCCAAAGTTGGTTAGATTCTCCTTTGACTCGGCCACATAGTCATGGATCTCCTCGCGCGGCATTATGTACAGCAGATCGTTGACGAAGGTATGACCCTTGACCTTCTTGCAGTCACACTCACGATCCGGTTGCTCCACAGGCAGGACAATGCAGTAAAAGATCTCGGCCACATTATCAATCTCCGCCGTGTCCACATGGGAAGCACGCAGTTCCCTCAAGATGGTCTGATAGGCATCCGTCTCCGTCAGTTCGGTGGTGACCTTGACAAATCCGGCGGTCTTGTAGTAACGCATAGCACGCCGGAACTTGGCATCGCAATTATAGTGCAGCTGGATCAGGGTCCTTAGCTTCTCCTGATCGATTAGATCCCGAATGTGCTGGAAGTTGGCACACAAATGGCCATCATCCTCGCGATCTCCATTAGTGCCATTTGTATGATTATTGTTATTCGGCGGACAGTCATCGGGCTGAGCCACCGGTAAATGAGCCAGGGAATGGCAGGCAAAGATGCCCAGAATTACGGCCAAGAGGGCGAAAGTCTTCAAGTTCCTCATCTTCCGGGTCTGGGTGTGATTCGACTGATGATTTGACTGAAACCATGTGGGAACAGTCGCTTTTATGCAGGCCTTTTGCTCCGGACACTTTGCTTATCGACTTGCCAATTAGCGTAATTTGTCCGGACAACTTATGCCGCTTATCAGGCCAAAGAGAAGACATCCCCCTGCAGGGGAGAAATTTCCCGGAATAACAACGAAGTCTTCCCACATGCTGAGGGAAAATTAAAAAAATGACAAGCGCCAAGATAAAGACGGACAGCAAATAAAACATATTGTTCGGGGAGTTATTAAAAATACTTACACCGGTATCATTTCTCTTTCTTTTGAAATGTTTTCTTTGCTTTACTCAATAGTTTGATATTTAAAAATACAAATATAAATAAATAAATTACATTTCTACATCGCAATAAAAGAATCGGAAAATAAACACAGACAACCGGAAATGTTTTGCTTGATTTTACAAGCTCTTTTCTATTTTCTGTTTTTTTTTTCTGTAAATACTGTAAAAAACAACCACTTAAGTTTTGCACTAAATATTTATTTACAGAGGGAAATGTACGTTTTTCTACATACAAGTTAAGTCCATTGTGTAGGAACTTGGGTATAAAGTCTACAAGTTGTGATAAAAAAAAATAAGGAAAAAAGGCAGGAAAATATTGTACAGAAAATGTTTAGGTTGTTTTACATTCTTGTAGCTTTTTCCTTAAGTGTTTTTGTACTCCAGAAAATCTATCTTTCGATATGTTGTCAGAAACATTTTCTTTATTGTAAGACATAATTTGAGTTAATTTTCTGTACAAAAATTATTTTTATAATATATAGTACCCATGGATAGAAAATGAATTAAGTTTTTCAATAATCATTTTCATTCTTTAACTTAAAGAGCAAATTTAATTCGTAATTGAAGCATATAAAGAAATATCATCTTAAATAAAACATCTCTCTTTAAATATTTTTAAATAAGCAAAGACTATTCTGCAATGATTTGTAGTCTACTTAGGTTTCTCTTATTTAGTATTTGAATATTTAAATTTTTAAATTTACTACAGATCAATTTGTAAAATTTATGCTTAGTATTTTTTCTTTCAGTGCTCATTTAATTGGTCGTGCATAGGGATTATAATTTCAGGACCTGCCCGATAATCTTCGTGTTGCTGTGCGCTTCATTAGTTACTAATTAGGGAAGGTGGGCACAGCCCAATGCCTTATGACTTATGCACCTGATGCTGCTCCTCCTCATCCCCCTCCTTTTCGTTCATGTGTGCAATGAGAGGAAGAATTATCCCCTCTTCCCTTTATTAGTTGATACTGACAGGTGAGGAGCATGGGAAGGGACAGAAGGAGGATTTTGGCCAACAAGTTCGTCAGGACTGGGCCAAACATTTATCTACAGGACCCACAACTGGGCCGAGAGTGCAAATCACTTTCAGTGAGAGAGATCAGGAGTGGGCGGAAGGACACATGTGTGAAGGGATGTCCCAAGTCCGTTGTCCAATGTCCAATTTGTCCTTGTTTGCCCTGGGTTTTCAGCATGATTCATGGGCAGGATTTCAGTGATGGAGAAGAAGGAGATTCAGTGTCAGTTTCAGTTTCAGCTTCCAGTTGAACTTGGCAGCACTTTTGCTTGGGTTCAATGGTCCGAATGAGTTTTCGCAAATGCTCAAGGGAATGTAAAAACTGAAAAATTCCTTTGTTTTATTATTAATAATAATCATTTGCTTCGCTGAACTCACGCATATTTATCTATTTGTCATGAGTTTCGGTGTGTCTTTGCCTCAACTTTTCCCGAAAATATTTGCCAGTCAATGAAGCGGAAATAGTTTTATTCAGGCATCTCCTCTCTATATGTTTTTATTTGTTTCGCCTTATTTCTTGTTTACGATTAAATTGCAAATTTTGGGAAAAATGAGGAAATGCATACTTGAAAAACGTTCATGGAAAATAAAGCAGGGAGGACAATTTTTTGCGCAAACGAAATGATTTTGTTCGAATTTCCCACAGTTTGCAGTTAAGCTTTCCTCCACTTAAGCCCAATCGGCGATTTATTTCACAGAATAAAATAGTTTTGCAGTTCAAAGATTAAATTCGATTTAACCGAAGCACATAAACTGCACATGCAGGGCAAAAAGTTGTTCCTGATTGGTTGCCAAAGGAGGTTAAAAATGTTTGTAAAGTTTGTCTGCATTTTAGGAGAGCGAGGGAGGATATAGCATCATCACATGTGCACATAAAACTGGTGAAAAGGTTGACTGTTGGATGCCTGATAACCTTAACTTACCTGTGAGAAGCACTTTATCTAAAGTATCTTTTCCCCTAAAATTTGTGGTTTATCTCTATCTCTCTGCCTTTGATTGCGGCTTCTTCTGTGAATGCTGGTTGCCATCAAAAGTTAACTTGCGGTGGCTAATAAATTGTCAGGGACAAATCTAACCGCAAGTCACTTTTTATACTGATTCCCATTTCTGATTTCTGTCACAGACACAATGCATAACGGGAAATTAATAAAGACACTGGGAGAAAATCAAAAGGGGGGAAATAATATTTGTTACTTTTAGATGAAGTAGATATTAATTTTAGTGCTAAATGGTTTAGCTTTTAGCTGAGGATCCTGTCAAGGAGGAAAGCACTTAATAATAGTGACAACATAAAGAAATGATTTAAAAATGGTAATAATTTTAAGTATGTTAATATTATAATCAAGCTGATTTTCTTTATGATTCCTTCTGAATAATTATCTATTTGTGTTTTATAACTTTCCTAAAAGGGAACGATGCTATTTACTAATATTTTCCAGACATTTATTGTATTATTAGCATACTCTTGGCTTTTCTTTTTCGACAGTGTCCTTACCATCCAGTGTGTGTGTGTGTGTTTGTGTGTGCTCGCATTTGGCTAACCATTTTCATTTCCCTCGATAATTTACTCAATTAGGGACTCGAACTCTAAGGCTTTTGCGGCATTAACGAGAATCGCTTTATTATTGCACTTAAGAGTGCCACGAATTCTGCTGTGGCAACACAGGCACACATCTATGTTCATACATACTCGTAAATATACACCACCTCATGCCACACATTCTGGTGACATCAAATTTAGTTGGCTGATAAAACTAAACTGGAGCTAAACATTTTCGGGGAAAAAGATAGAGCCAGAGAGTCCTATAGGATGAAGGCTGCTTGCGAAAGTTGAACAGCTAACTTACTTCGATAAACAGGCTTAATTAGCGACCGAAAGCCGAAAGCCAACAGACTGCCAACTGGAAATGGCACTAGGCGCATTATAACCAAGACCAACACACACACAAATAAAGTTAAAGCAAGTGGCAGAAGGACTAAAAACACAATCAAGTATTTTACAGTGGTTCCTAGAGAAACTAGCACAGGAAATAGGAAACTATTAATACATAATTAACTTAAGTCATTTAAATTGGGGAAAAACAATTGCTGAAATCTTTTTTTTATTTAAATCTTTGTAAAATAAATTATAAATAAATTCTTCGGAATAATTTACTACATGGTTGTTTGTGAATAACTAAAATGTTTTTGTCATTTTTAAATTTTAAATAGTCAGTTTTTTGTTTAATTTTGCCGAAGAGTTTATTTTAAGCATTTATAAACTTATTATGCTGACTTTCTTGGTATAAAAAAGTATACACATGAAAATGCCAAGTCAACACTGCGTATGAGTGATATTATGCTTGTTGCTTCTAAGAAATATCACTCATACGCAGTGTAAGCATATAATTTATAACTGTCAAGGCTTTTCATAAATCTCATAAATTCTTGAAAATTAACTTTTTAGCTAAAATGAGTAATATTAATAATTACTTATTTATTTATTTATAAATAGTACTAATTAAAACCCCATGTATATCACTTCTACTCTGTGTAGGCTCTCCTAACAACTGCTAGGTAATTCTATTTATTTATTTATGAGGCCGTTGAAAACCAATTATGTTTTATCCATGATTAATTTTGCTCCACTGTAAACATGCCGCAGAGCTTCGTCGGCTGTCCGACTTAATTATGTGCAAGCAACAATGATATTTATATTATCAGCCAGTCAATGTCAAACGTCAGCACCGCCCACTGGACAGCGGCAGGAGCAGCAGGAGCATCTGGATTTCAAGTACCAGCCTCCTCTCCTCCTGGGATTACCATTAAGTCTGAAAACAAAGACAAAGGCAGCTCCAGGCCACTGTTTGCTCTCGGTCTTTGAGTGGGGTTCGGGGGGGAAGAAGGTGGCATCGCTTTTAATAGCTCCTTCATGTCCAACGATATATATGTACATATATTTATACCATATATATGTACATATATTTTACCCTTACAAGCTGATGGACAAACAGGCCATAACCCGAAATTATATTCATGCACACATGGCCTCCCAGGGACTCCTTTGCGAATCGAATCGAAAAAAATGCGAGAAATAAATGCAGATTCATGGTTGTCCAGTCAGCAGACAAATGATGTGCGTCCCGAAATCAGCGAACTCGAAAATTCCAAGAGGCCGAGAGTCCTTGGCCTCCTTGCACCCCCAAAAAACTTAAAGTCGGACTTGTTTTAATTCCATTTCGTCCTCGAACCTGTTGCAGCCCATCCAATTTTTTTGTTCACTTTCGATTTTTGTTTAATTTTTTTACATTTTTTATATTGAGAGTGGAAAGCACTCTCGTCGAATCGCTCGCATTGAATTGAATTGGGAGGGGAAAACAAAGGCTTTGTCCCTTCCTCTATTGTTTGCCAGGTAAACAATTAAAAATGGCAAATGGCGCTGAAAGGACGAAGAGAGAGGAGAGCGACAGGACATAGAAGGTGACAGGGCCAAATACACAAAAGTGTTGGTTGGTTGCCATCACGCATCGGGCCAAAAGCACCAGAAAAATGGCGCAAAACACACTCGAATATGGCAGTGACATCTCACAATTTTTATGACAGCATATAACAGGGCGGGCCGCATGGATCATGGATCCCCCATCATAGAATACCCTGCAGCTTAAGCCCATTTAATTAACCGAAATTATTCAACAAATTGCTCA